ATATAGCCATCCTATTGAATATAAAATGATATCTCTTATAATTTTGATGGTATTTCCCTATTATGAGTAATAATGTTGAACATCATTCTGTGTGCTTAATTTGTCTTTGAAGAAATATCTGTTCAAAAATTTTTGCCACACCTGTAATCCCAGCGGTTTGGGAGGCAGGAAGATCACAAGTTGAAAGCCAGCCTTAGCAACTCAGTGAGGTCCTTCCTAAGCAATTCAGTATGACCCTGTCTCTAAATAAAATATTAAAAAGGGGTGTGGGTGCGACTCAAAAGTGCCCCTGGGTTCAATCCCTGGTACCCCCCAAAAATAAAAAGTTACCCATTTTTAAATTAGATTATTTATAGTTTTGTTCTCAAGTTGTAGTTCTTTATATACTCTGAATACAAATTTCTTATCAGATCTATGATTTGCATATGTACATATATGTGAGAGAGGATTCAGAAACAATTTAAATGCTTTTTGATATAGGATACTTGACTACTATCTAGCTTTGAAAAATAATTTAGGGCTGGGGATGTAGCTCAGTGGTAGAATGCTGCCTAGTATGCATGAGACCTTGGGTTTGATCCTCAGCACTGCAAAAAGAAAAGAAAATCCCCTTTTAAGCTATTATGAGGTACACTATTATTGTTTACCCTACTGTCAGTAGCACACAAGAACTTTTTTTTTTCATCTAACAGTGATTTAATACTCAGTGAACAACCTAGAGCACATTGTTTTTATGAACAACAAAAAAATTATTTCTAGGGGGAAGAAAAATCTTTCTGTTTTAGTCTGTTGCATTCCTACCCTGCCTGCTCTGCCATCATAGGTGGGCTCATTTAGGTATAGAGTGAAACTATAAGAAAGAGAAGAAAGCCTCCTGTGAGAATTCACAGAGAGCTTAAATGCCTTTCTTCTTTTTTTTTTTACACTGAGTCATCCCTGTGGCTTCTGTTATTTATCTACTTTCAGACTGTAGCATGATTACTTGAGTTACTTTCATTTTTTAAGTTACTTTTTAGATCTTATTTGGCAGTAAATGACAAGATATCCTGTCCTTGCTTTAGATTTAGATATGACTTTTCCCTCAGCCCTTTGGCCTGCTTTTCTAATATTTTGGTTTTTTCTCTTTTGACCTTCCCAGACCGAGTGACTGTGCTGTACAGGAGCAAAGCTGTTGGCTACACCTGGCCTGGTCCATTTTCCATGGCAGACTCCAGCCCTTGGGTCCATATTACCCTAGGTGATGGCAGCACCCTCCAGACAAAATTGTTGGTAGTTGAAGATTCTTATTTTGCCAGGGGTCTTGCATGGCTACATCTTATCCTACATTATTCTAGGACCTCTAGTTTTAGACCTAAACCATAGACTAATTTTGGGCAAGGCTGTTGGTTATATAATGACCAGTAAAGTACTCATTCAAGGCAGCCCAAGTTAAGATGATCTTATAAATCCTGTACAGGAAGCAATCTCAGGCTATTTTAGGTCATGAAATGAAGAATAGAAGGATAGCTGGGCCTCACATGGATAAGAACCAGAGTGCCAGAGTTGAAGCTCTTCTTGCCCTCTGAGGAGTCACATTGTCATTCATCTTTCAGCTCTCTGCTTTTCTCCCTCATTTCCTCTCACCAGCTTTACCTTTTACAATTCTGGTGCTTGACCTCTTGTTCAAATATCAAATATCAAGAGAACGTGGCTTATTATCAATTTGTCCAGCTGGTTGGCAAATATTTGCCCTGACAAATATCAATTTGTTCAGCTATAGCTGGCACCTCTCGGGTCAGATGTCCACTTTGGCTCCATTAGCTGATGCTGAAGTCACTGTAGAGCTGCCCTTCTAGGGCAGTGAGTGAAACAGGCCTGATGAAAAGCTTCCTGCTGGGCTGGGGATGTGGCTCAAGCGGTAGCGCCCTCGCCTGGCATTTGTGTGGCCCGGGTTCGATCCTTAGCACCACATACAAACAAAGATGTTGTGTCCCCCGAAAACTAAAAAATAAAATATTTAAAAAAAAAAAAAAAAGCTTCCTGTCACAGGTGAGCTGCCAGCAGTTGGAACGAGAGAAAACTCAAGGCAAAAGAGAGACTTTTGGAGCAGTTGGTTTATGAGGAGGTTGTAAAACTTAGCAGACTCTTGTCTCCAAGTAGATTGGTGCTGATGGTTACAACTCAGGAGTACGGCAGGCTGCTGGAATCCAGAATGTTAGTTGGAACTATGACCAGTCTGCTGTCGTGGCTACTCTCCATTTATCAGAGGTGAGATCTGGAACTGCTATCTGGAAACCCTGCTCATAGACACTGGGTATTCATAAGAACCTTTCCCCTCTGTTGCAGGCCACAGAAAACAATGTAGCCTGGCAGAGATTTCTTCCCTCTGGGCCTATTGCTCTGCTCCCGGTAAGAGGTCCTCTGGCCAATCTGCTCAAAAGCAAGCCTTCAATTCTAGGACTTCTCTTTCTCTCAGCCTTTTCTCTGGTTTTAGAGAAATATGCCTTAGCTCATGTTGCTACACTTTCTTGTTTTTCTTTATGCTTGAGAGTCCCTCAAGTTCAGAAGTTTTAGCCTTAGTATAGGTGTCCTTCTTTTGACACAGCTCTCGGATACCCTGAGTTCCTTGGTCTGGTCGACATCCCATGACCATGCTGCGGAGCTAGTAAGCATGGATGAGGAAGAGTTTGTGGATGCCATTAACTCTGCCTTTGTGAGTACCAATATGTCCAGCTGACGATGTGTTGCAGAGGTGGATTCAGAAGGTGGTTTTAAGTAAGGAAAAAGGACTAACCAAGCAGCTGCCTCCTTGTAACAGTAAATGGCTGGTAGGATTATGTGGAACAGGGCACGTAGGGGAATGCAAAAAAAATAACGACAGTGCTGCTTTTCTGAGGGTTGTGTATGCTCTTATGTTGACTAAAACAGTTGCCTAGGTGGTTACCATTGCATTTTTTTTAAGCCATAGAATTTTAATAATTTTGAACAATTCTACTTAGTTCCAAGTATCTACACTTTTGAAGCCTAATGAATAAAAGTATTCCCAGGGAGGGGCTGAGCACATTTCAACACAGTTTAAGAGTAAGCTTTGACCAGGCATGGTGGCACATGTCTGTAATCCCAGTGACTTGGGAGGCTAAGACAGGAGGATCACAAGTTCAAAGCCAGCCTCAGCACTTAGCAGACCCTGTCTCAAAATAAAAAATAAAAAGGGCTGAGGGTGTTAACTCACGGGATAAGTGCCTCTGGGTTCAATCCCTAATACCAAAAAAAAAAAAAAAGAAGAAGAAGAAGAGAGAGAGAGAGAAAGTAAGCTTTGTAAGCAGGTTTTGACGGCACATGCCTATTATCCAAGAAATTCAGGATGCCTAGACAGAAGGATTGAAAATTCAAGGCCACCCTCATCAATTTAGTGTGAGGCCCTCAGCAACTTAGCAAGACCCTGTCTCAAAAAAGAGTGGTCTTTGGAGCTGGGGTTGTGGCTCAGTGGTAGAGCATTTGCCTGGCATGTGTGAGGCACTGGGTTTAACTCTCAGCACCATATATAAGTAAATGAATAAAATAAAGGTCCATCAAAAAAAGAGTGGTCTTTGTAGAAAGATATGAGTTCCATACTGTTTCTATTTGTTGATCTCATTAAAAAAAAAAAAAAGAAAAACAGAAATAGTACCAGTGTAACTCCACATTATGTGCAACCACAAAAATGGGAAGTTATACTCCATGTATATATGTCAGAATACATTCTATTGTCATGTATAACTAATAAGAACAAATTTTTAAAAAACTTTTAAAAACCCAGAAATGGAGTTACCAATTTGTCAGGACTGAATAATGACATTTAAAATGAGTGAATTGGGCAAGGGAAATGGCATGGGGTAAACTACTTCCTAGCATGAGTGAGGCCCAGGGTTCAATTCCCAGCAGCACCACAAAAAATAAAAGTCAAATAAAATGAGAGAATTTATGTAAAATGCTTGGAACATACGTAGTTCATTGTAGATACTCAACAAATAATAATCACTGTTCTGAAGTAAGCACAGCCTGTAGATAATATAGGCAAGAATATTGTTGGAGCTTATATTCCACATCTGAATTCACTAATAGTAACAATTGGTAAGATTTATTGAATGCATAATTGTGCCATGTACTAGGATAGTGTTAACACATACTTATTTAACTCAGTAAATCTTTAATGTGGGTACTACTATTATCCTCATTTAGAGAAATTTAGAACTGGCCTGAGATCACACATCTACTGACAAAAATGAGTTCTACAGTCAAACTGGCCCTTAGAAGCTGTTTTAACCAAGCCTACTACCTCACTAAAGAGTTCACACTGAAGAATTTAAACCCACTGTTCTGCAGTATCAATAAGAATAAAAGGAAATTGGAACCAGGGTTGTGACTCAGTGGTAGAGCGCTTGCCTAGCATGCGTGAGGCACTGGGTTCGATCCCTGGCACCACATAAAAATAAACAAATAAAATAAAGGTATTGGGTCCATCTATAACTAAAAAAAAAAAAATATTAAAAAAAGAATAAAAAGGAACTAAATTTACTGAAGTAGATTCCAGGATAAATGGTAACTGCTCCCCCTGCAGGTCATTTAGTATATATTCCTAGCACAGCCCTCACACCTTTGTAGTACATTCATCCAACAACTGTGAGCACCTTCTGTCTAGCAGACACTGGAATCAGAGGCAGAAGCAACAGTCCCTGTTTCAGGAATCTAGTAGTCAAGTGAAGACAAAATACATAAGTGATGACCTCAGTATGGGGATAGTATACATAGGATGCTGTGGGAGAACACACAGAGGTGTTTTGGGGAGTGTTACAAAAAGAGGTGACATCTTCTGATGTTCTGCTGAAGAGATGGGAGGACATTCTAAGCAGAGAGGAATCCTGGAGAGAAGAGGATACTGTAGAAGGAGGTACACTGCAGCTGGTGCGATATTATTGAGGATGGGTACTAGCAAAGGGTGTAGCTTAGAGGTAGGCAGGGGCCAGCTCAGGAGCTCTTTGGCCTGATTCTAAAACCTGTGCATTTAAGGGGCTTGTCACTCATGTTCAAGATCAATTTAGGCATGTTCGGTAGCATTACCCTTAGCTTTGGCTATAAAAAAAGATTTCCTTGTTCAATTTTTAATTCCCTGCTAGTCACTGATCAAATTTCTTGTTTGTTTGTTTATATGGCTGATACTGCTCAGTGGAGTGATGCAAACCACGTGGACTTCATTGATTCAGCTGGGACCATGTTACAATATGTTGTCACCCTTCTGAAGCCCACTAAGGTCTCAGCTCGCCAACTACCCCCAAGTGTAGCAAAGGTGGATGCAAAAAGCAGAGTCCTCTTTCCTCTGGGGTTGGGACATGCTGCTGAGTACGTCCGGCCTCGGGTGGCACTCATTGGGTAAGAGAAACAGAGCAGGGTGTCTCTCCTTTCTCACCATGCTTCTGGAGGCCATACTTGAATGCTGCTCTGTTCTTAGGGACGCAGCCCACAGAGTCCACCCGCTTGCAGGACAAGGTGTCAACATGGGCTTTGGGGATATCTCCAGCTTGGTCCATCATCTCAGTACTGCAGCTTTCAATGGGAAAGACTTAGGTAAGTTTCCGGAATCCAGAGGTCACCTAATTACAAATCACAGCCCCAAAATGGCCCCCAAGAGCAAAATAGGGTAGACAAACATGTATCTGGTTTGGTAGGAGAGGAAAGAAACCTTTATTAGATGAGGGGTTTAACCTTTCCTCTTTCCTTCAGGTTCTATGAGCCACCTTGCAAGTTATGAAACAGACAGACAGCGCCACAACACTGCTCTTTTGGCTGCCACAGACTTACTGAAAAGACTGTATTCCACCAGAGCCCCTCCACTTGTGCTGCTCAGGACGTGGGGTTTGCAGGCCACTAATGCAATGTCTCCACTCAAAGTAAGAGGCCACTTGGGGCTCTCCGAGATTCTTGGTCACTGAGGAGGGATTTGCACACAACTCTTAAATTTCTTTAGTTTTCATGAGTAACCTTTGTTATCTGTATCTGTCTCCCTTCCGTACTGGCTATGTGCAGGAGTGCTTGCTGGGCTTGTTGTCACTGAGGTGCAACAAGCCTAAACAGCAACTCGATATGGTACAGGATGGGCTTAAGCACAGCGACAGGGAATTGTAACGATGAAGTTGTTTCAGCTCCTCTTGCTGTTTCACCAGCTTCTCCCCTGAAACACTTCCATTTAAAAATATTTTCATTTATTTTTAAGCTGGAAGAAAGCAGGAATTCTTCTTAGGAGGAGGGAACTTTTGCTAGATTTTTGCTGTAACATCTTAGGTATTTCATTTTGAACTATTTTCCTGGCTTGCCTTTCCACCTTCAGATGCCAGACCATCACTCACGTTGTTTCATTTTTCTCCAGGAACAGATTATGGCCTTTGCCAGCAAATGAGCGATATTCTTCTGGAGATTATGTTGTTGAAAGAAGATCTTACCCTGCAACCACCACATACATTTTCAAGATTTGATTTAATAAATTTACTTTTATTCACTGAGGAAGGACTTGCAGACAATTCTAAATTTCTTTAATTTAGAATTAAATTAACATTAGAATTCTTTTCTCTTTTACTTATGCTTAATGGGCCTATGGTCCCAAAAATGAGGAATAAGTTGCTATGAGAAAGGAATGTCAATTAAGCCCAAGGAGGGGGGAAAAAAACCTTACATGACTATTACGAGTTGCTTGAAGAGAGATTTTTATTACTAAAAGAAAAATCATTAAGGTGCTATTATACTGATTTTCACTTGTTAATAATCCTAAAAGCAAGATTTACAGATTTTTTTTAATACTGGTCATAAATTCATACAGTTGTCTGTAGACAGGTTAGAAATGCTTGGTTGATACATTTTTGTCAAAATTGCCATTTAAAAATTAACATTAGAATGCAAATATACTTTGTGTGTTGGGGGAAGGAGTGATGGGTATTTAACCTAGAGGTGTTCTACCATTGAGCTGTAATCCCCAGCCTTTTTCATTTTTATTTTGAGGCAAGGTCTACTAAGTTGCTGAGGCTGGCCTGGAACTTACCATCCTCCTGCTTCAGCCTCTCAAGCCACTGCATTACAGGCATATACCACTTCACCCAGCAAATATAAATTACTTTTAATCTGTTACAGTGTGCTAGACTTTCTAGAAAAACAAAACCACCATAGTTATAGCTTTCTTATCACAGCATCATATTTGAGTTTTAGTTATGGTTCTCCTCTGGGACACCACTATCTGTTCATTTATAAAACAACAAATAATTTCATTTCACAGGTTTAAAGATTTCAGGAACCATCTCAAAAGGGACACTCTAATTAACAGCAGAATTTAACCATGTGTGGTGGCAGATTAGTGGCCAGTAGAGGGAATGGTGTGTTGCTGTGAGATTACCCCTCCCTCCCCCCCAATGTTGGAGACAGAACCCAAAGCCTTGCTAGTAGGCAAGGGCTCTATCACTGAGCTATACTCCTATCTCTCTTAAGTTTTATCTTAAGTCAGAGTCTACTAAATTGCTCAGGCTGGCCTCAAACTTGTGATCTTCCTGCATCAGTCTCCTGAATAGCTAGGATTACAAGCATGTATCACTATGACTGGTTTACTGTGGATTTTGAAGAGCTCATTCCACAGTGCCAGAGATATCTTTGGAAGAGATCTTTAGGTCTGTCAGATATATACATTGTAAAGAACCTCTTGTCCATCCAGGTGCAATAGTTCATACCTGTACGTAATCCAGCAACTTGGGAGGATGAGGCAGAAGGGTCACAAGTTCAAGATCAGCCTTAACTACTAAGAGGTCCGAAGCAACTTAGTTAAAAGACACTGCCTCAAAGTAGATAAAAAGGAATGTGGTCTGGAATTGTACCTCAATGGTGAAGCGCTTGCCTAGCACATGTGAGTTTGATCCTCAGCACCACATAAAAATAATAAAGGTATTGTGTCCCTCTACAACTAAAACTTAAAAAAAAGTATTGTGTCCAACTACAACTAAAAAATAAATATTTTTTAAAAATCTGATTTGAAGATTTAACAAGAAGAGTGAGTCTCCTTTTGAACCAGTCTAAGCTATTCTTGGGAGTAATTTTTTTTTTTGGTACTAGAGATTGAATCCAGGAGCACTTAACCACAGAGCCACATCCCTAGCCCTTTTTATTTTTTCTTTTGAGATAGGGTCTCACTAAATTGCTTAGGGCCTTGCTTAGTTGCTGTGGCTGGCCTGTGAACTTGCAATCTTCCTACCTGAGCCTCCGGAGCCACTGGGATTAAAGGTGTGTGTCACCAGGCCTGACTGGGAGTAACTTTTGAAGGGATGGGAAGTTTGTTGCTGAAGAGAAGCTTTTCAGAGAAATGTGAAAAATTTGTGAGATGAGTGAAGTGATAAGGTTACAAACCTTCCTGAATCCTAGGGAAAATATTGCTCAGAATAAGAGATGACAGCTGCAGTGAAAAGCTGTGTGACAACTGGCAGAGGCTGAAGGAACAAGGTCATTTTTCACATGGAAAGGCTGCCTGAAGGAGAACATGGACTCTCCCAAAGTGTGCAAATAAACAAAAGCAATAAGTTGAAGTTTGAGACACTTTGCAGGGAACTCCATGACTTTCAGAAGATGTTCTTTGTATAGCAATGATGGTTAATTAGCCACAACATCCACCAGGTGTCAGGGCATGTCCTTGGTATTTTAAACACACTAACCCTTTTACAGAGATAAAATATAAAAATATAACTAGCAATATTAGTATATAGGATTCCTTAGTAAAAGGTTCAAACGGTACATTTTCAAATCTTTTTTTCTAAGAAATGATTCTCACCCCAAATTGCACTTAAAATAGGCAAATCAGTTAATTTTTGCAAATAGATTTCTGAAGTGAGACTGCATCTACCCACGAGTTTTGAAGGTATCCAAGGTGACCAAAGAAACACACTTCACAAACAGGGCCACTGCTGTGAGAAGCTTCCGAGACCTCCTGAGGTGAGGAAGACCAGGGAGTCTCATCTTCCTGGACCTGGCAGGTGGCAGGAGTCTAATGAACACAGCTTACTTCTTGGGGCAACAACTTGGTGTCTACTGGAGGTAACAGTCTTTCAGTCATGTTAACACTTGGTACTGGTCAGGAACCCTACTTTGACAAAAAATTGTAGGGTATCTAGGCATCATGTCACATGTTAAAGAAGAAACCATAAAGAATTTAGGAGTTGTCTTAAAGAGTTTGGAAGGCTTTGGAATGGGAGTCTGAGAAGAAGACCACTAAAAAGATAGGTAGATTTCAGCTCAACAGGAGGAGGAGGTAAACATCAGCACAGTCCTCAAGTGAAACGAACTGTCTGAAAATGCTTTAAACAGGCACTGAATAAACCTGTTGGAAACACTGAGGATTCCTGCTTGGGGAAAAAAAAACAAAGAGTTAGTTTGTCTCTGATTCTAAAGATTCTTATTTCATTACATATTAACATTCTTTTGAGGAAGGTACCAGGTATAAAGGTGACCTTTGTAATAAGAGTCAGTTTGAATTGGGTGCAGTGACAGTCGCCTGTAGTACTAGCTACTCTAGACTGAACTAGGGGGTGGTGTGGAGGGGGGTGTCACTTCACCAGGAGTCTGAAACCAGCCTGAATAACAATGAGACCCCTGCTCTACCATTGGGAAAAAAAAAAAAAGTCTGAAGAGGGCTGGGGTTGTGGCTCAGCGGTAGAGCACTTGTCTAGCACTCACAAGACCCTGGATCCGATCCTCAGCACCACATTAAAAATAAATAAATGAAGGTATTGTGTCCAACTACAACTAAAAAATAAAAATATTTTTTAAAAAAGTCTGAAGAAACTCCACATTGAACTTTTTAAAAAAATTAATTGGGGGGATAAGGATATAGAAATTTGCCTAGTTCCTTGCACATAGCAGATGTTTCTTGACTCAGTGGAGTAACTAAAAGTTCCCAAGCTAGTGTGGGAGTTACACATATTTAACAATCCTTTGTGAGAGTGGAAGGAAAGGGAGGTGAATAAAAGCTACAAGTTTGCAGAGATACAACTGCTGGAAAAAAAAGAAGATAAAGAGCCATGGCAAAGAAGCCAAACTGTAGCTCTTTCCAGTTCAAAAACAATAAAATATCAGACAAGCAGATAATGGTCGTGTAGAAAAGTACAAAATGGTAAAAATTTAAAAAAAAAAATTTAAGATAATGACTTTCAGGAGAGATAATTCACAAAATGAAGAGCTCCAGATACTGACTCAAAAAGAGAGAGTCATTAAGTATGATTCTCTGGAAATGCAGGTACAATATTCTGATAATGGACCAAAATAGCCAACAAAATAAAATGCGGTGTATTATTGGGAAAAGGATTGGAAATCCTGGAATCATAAGATTATTTATTTATTTATATAAATTTTTTATTATCTTTATTTATTTTTATGTGGACTGAGGATCAAACCCAGGACCTCTCACGTGCTAGGTGAGCGCTCTACCACTGAACCACAACCCCAGCCCCAGATTCTTTTTTTAATAAAGATTTTTTTAAAGATGGACACAATATCTTTATTTATTTTTCATGTGGTGCTGAGAATCAAACCCAGAACCTTACAAGTGCAAGGCAAGCGCTCTACTGCTGAGCTATAACCCCAGCCCCAATTCATAAGATTTTAGCTAAAACCATCAGAGACCAAAGCAGCAAAGTACTGCTACAAATGGAGAGAAGCAAAAGGCACATCAGGGGTTGAGAGAGTAATTATCTTAGTGGCAGAGTGTGTGCTTAGCACGCACAAGCACTAGGCCCTGGGTTCAACCCTTAGTGGGTGTGCAAATGTACAAACAGCCAACTGAAAGAGACTGTGATCAAAATCTAGATTCTCAAATAGCCACACACTGACCTTGACCACAGACCAAAAGCCAGGGCATAGCTGTTATTTCTTAGAAATAACATTAAGTTTAGGATCAGATAATTCTATGATCACATTAGCCTGGGAGCTGGTATTGACACTGAATATGCACATACCTATAAAGCTGGATATGTACATTAATCCCAGAACTGATTGTTAAAAAGTTGACTTAGGAAGGCAGGCTATAAAGCACTGGATGGCCTGCCTGCTTTCTCTCCCTTTCTTTTTTTAATGTTGATTCTTTTAATTAATCTTAAGGCCCTGACTTCATTTTTCAAACATTACTGTAAGGAAGAGTGTGAATTGGTTCCAGTATTCAGGCCAGTAACAATAAAAGAGCGCTTGCCTAGAATGTGTGAGGCACTGTGTTCGATCTTCAGCACCACATAAAAATGGACAAATAAAGTGGAGGCATTGTGTCTATCTAGGACTGAAAATTTTTTTTTAAAAACCCACAAAACTGGCTACAAGTTGTGCAACTGAACATTTGAGTCATGTGCCTCCTCTAAAAGATCCTCAAAGAATAGAGATAGTATCTTTTAATTTTATATCCAAATAACACTTATTATAATGCTTTATACCTAAATATTTACCAAAAAATTTTTTTAAAAAATGAGGACCAACAATGAGTGGAAGAGAGGAGAGAAGCTAAGACACTGTAGATGGGAGGGGCAGACTGCTATCAAATGTGGGAGGGATGGGAAAGGGGTGCTTAGAGGCAGAGTGAAGGAGTGACAGCAGAAATGGAGCCCTGACTGTGCCAAATAAAATTCTCATTTTGTTGCTTGTTCAAAATAAATTAGTTTGTACAGTGCAGAATGAATGCCAACTGTCTAAAGCTAACTGGAATGCAGAGGCAAGTTAAGGACGAAGAGGAAAAATTAATTGCTTAGCCATCCTTCCTTGGGGTCACTAGCTTCTGTATCAGGGCTAAAAATGGATATCTTTTCTCTTGTTTACCCATCTCACTTTTCAAACTTTCTAGACAGCTTGTTCTCTTAACCAATTACAGGAAATTTAAAAATCTGCATCTTTATGAGCTTGAATTTGGAGCTCAGGGAAAAGCATAGAGCAGTATGAGATGACAGAAGAGGTCTATCCATTTCCTTTCACAGAATTAAGAACCAAAAATCAAAGAATTTATAGGCACAGGTAGATTTAACTCAGGTTGACCTCCCGTGAAAGGCTGCAATCTCTTCTTCTAGGTACTGACCCAAAGAATCAGAATCTGCTCTGCTTAACGTCTGGTATATGAGGTAATATCTGTGAATTCATTCAACACTGTTCCTGCATTTAGACTGACCATGACCCCTTACCTTCTTACTACCCTAAATCTTTCCTCCTCTTAATCCAGCCCAAGATGTCAGAAGCTCGTCTCCCTATTCCCTCCCCAATTCCACTGTTGGTTCATCAGTTATCCAATTGACTCCACTCTGTAAATAAGGCATTCCCTTGGCCTGACTCACTCAGTCCCATTTCTCTACAGGCATCCCTTCACCACAGATCACAAGGAATTTGACGGGCTCATGTTTTGGGTTAATGGATTTGAATCGGAACAAATCTCACCAAAAGAAAAAAACACCCTAAACTCTCCCACACAGCTCTCAAGCAGGTTACGCAAATATTAGTGCTACCATTCAAATAAATGTGCCCCTGCCATGGTCCAGAAGTTGGGCTCCTCCAACCTCCTGCCACTTGTACAAAATGATACTGCTCCACTAAGGGATGTAGGACAGGAACTTGGGAAAGGAAAGAATTCCTTGTGTAGGCCCCCTTAATCTATAGCCTGCTATTAATACCATATAGTCCTAAATTGGAAGTCCCTAGAGAAGTTATGATGGGCTTAACCAGCCTGGGGCTTTGGAGAAGAGTATGTGTTGACTACAGTTTGGGGCATAATTAAATCTCAATACTTCAGACAGGTACATACCCTAATTTTATACATGGGAAAACAGAGGCTCCGAGAATTTAGGTGTCTTACACCTAAATATCGAAACCATTAAGTGATGCAGGCATGATTTAAACCCAGGTCTTAACTGAAAGTTTCTAAACCACTCTGCTGTTTTAAAATACCAACAGGCAAGAGATAACCACTGTCTAAGTCATGAAATCAAGGGCTGGGGTTGTGGCTCATTGGTGGAGCGCTTTCCTAGCATGCGTGAGGCACTGGGTTTAATCCCTGACACCACATTAAATTAAAATAAAATAAAAGTATTTTTAAAAACATAAATAAACTTAGGACATCAAGATTATGGGGACTCTATCCTACCCTCTGTTTACTAAACCTGCTCTCTAAAAACTCCACTACCATAAACTGAGGCAACTGCTAGTAGCCTGGAGGGAACTCTCTCCTATTTAAACCAAATGGAGAGTGAATAGTAATAATCACTAGGACTTGGAGAGTCTCTAAACAAAGATTTGTTGGCAAATAGGGGAAGGGATGACCTCCTTTCTTAAGACTAAAATCTCTATTGCTTTAAGATTAGGATGGTCTGGGAGCAGTGGCACATATCTGTAATCCCAGCACCTCTGGAGACTGAGATGGGAGGATTGCAAGCTCAAAGTCAGCCTCAACAAAAGCAAGACACTAAGCAACTTAGTGAGATCTTGCCTCAAAATAAAATATAAAATAGGGCTGGTACCCCCTCCCCCCAAAAAAGAAAAAGAGTGAGGATAGATCTCAGATGGCTGACTCTGGAGCTAGTATACAAAAGAATCACACAAATTTTGACAGTTTCTTTTTTTTCTCTCTTTTTTTTTTTAATTACACATGGAAAGTAAACCAAGTAATTTTCCTCTCTTTTTTAGGGGTGGAGGTGGGGCAGACAAGGATGGAAGAGGCAGGATAGTACAATGAGAAGAAAAAAAATACTGGTATTGCTAGATCATGGGATTATAGTAAATCAGCTTAATTTAGCATGTAAGAGGAAACTAAAATGTTCAAAGGAACGAGGCACTCCAAGGATTAAAATGAGTTTCTTTGGTTCCCAGGGACCTGTCCCTGAGCTCTCACTCCATGGTTGAGTTCCAAAGCTATTCTTTTTGGCTCACAGAGTTCTCTGTGTCACACAAACACTCTCAATGATTTACATTTCAGAGCCATCTGTGCCCCCCAAATGGTTAGGTAACTGTTCACATTAGACATGTAAAATTAATTCTGCCCAAATCTCTAGGCTCAAGATCAAGATCTGTATATGAAAGTCCCTCCACCCTGATAAAGCCACCTACTGCACTCAATCCAGGTTGTCCCCAGACTAACTCAGAAAATGAACAAGTCTTCTCTTCTTCTCCACTTAAAAAGGTTGGTGGTGAATGCAGGCCTCAGAGGAAGTGCTTGGCCTCAGTGGGAGATGCCCAGAGACTGCAACAGGTGAAAGGTGGCCCCCAAGGCCCAGCCCATCTCTATGTTGTTCACTTTCTTGGTGAGCTGTTGAGGAAAAAAAGTTCACATTTTCATCCCATTTTAAACCAGCAAGCACAGCACTTGGGTAGATAATATCTGCACAGAGCATTCACATGGCCAAACCAAGGCAAAATCAAGAAGCCCAGGCTCTGTAGGCTTCACAGGGAACTATTCCCCTCTGTAAAAGTTTCCCTTCAGCCAAGGCCTATTGTCCCTACATCTGCCATTCTGATCCTCAAGCGCTTCTGGCTTTGGAAGTTGTTCCACCCAGCCTTCTAAAGAGATCTTCTAGACAGGCTTCCAAACTCTTTCACTAATCCTGAAACTTAAGTATAGCATCCTCTGCTTAGTTTTCTGAAATATGTGTAGGAGTAAAAAAGAACACACCAATCTTCCCGATTCATACTATAAACTACGGTCTCTTTGTTAAGCACTAATAACAACCAACAAGGGCATTTAAGGCATTCTGGATGAGACTTTGATTCTATTAGTTCAGGGATCTTGAGTAAAACTTTAGACCTGATTTCCTCAATTACAGAATAAAGGGATTAGATAAGTAGGTTTTTGTTTGTTTTTTAAGCACTAAAGTTGGAACCTAGGGATGCGCTATCACTGAGCCACATCCCAACCTTTTTACTTTATTTTGAAACAGGATCTCACTAAATTGCCAAGGCTGACCTTAAACTTGCAATCCCCCCGTTTCGGCCTCCTGAGTCACTGGGATTACAGGCATGTGCCACAGCTCCCAGCAAGCTTCTACTGAATAAGATGCTACAGCTACCACCAAAACCAAAGTTTGAAAAATACTGGGTTGGTATGTGTTGACCTGATGAAATCAAGTCTAGTCACTGTGCCCAAAACTGGGGAGAATAGCATTTAAATTATTGTCTAGAGGTTTAGTCTGGGACACCTGCCTGAAATTGGGAGTGCCCCACACCAAAATATTCTTCCTCTATCCTCAGCACTGGGCTGGCAGCTTAGGGACACAGATGCCAAGATGAAGCAATCTCTGGGACAGAGAAGTGTTCACCCCAGATTTAAATTCTGCTCCTGTTGAAAGAATAGAGATGAAAAGGACGCCAGCACTAAAAACAGCAGGAAATTGTTCTTGAATGACTTGGTTATTGTTGATGCTTAAGCGGAGGTAAACTCAATACACACTGAGAGGCTCAGGATGGTCTCTTTTCTCTATCCCTAACTGGTGTGAAATGCTTCCACTAATAGTAATATCAGTATTAATAAAAAAAAAACTTGCTATATGACACATTTTGGTTTTCACATACATTGCTTCAATTTTCACAAAAGGCCTATGAAATAGGTATTATAAGGATTCTGGCGTTCTTTTGTTTTTGTTTTTTGGTACCAAGAATATTAAACCCAGGGACACTTAACCACTGAGTCACAACACTAGCCCTTTTTATTTTTTTATTTTGAGACAGGGTTTCATTAAGATGCTTAGGACCTTGCTAAATTGTTTAGGACCTTGCTAAATTAATGAGGCTGACTTTGAACTTGAAGTCGTCCTGTCTCAGTCTCCGAAGCCCCTGGGATTACAGATGTGTACCACCATGCTTGGCAGGATCCTTGAGTTTTGAATGAGGAACCTTATAGTTAGAGAGGAAATAAACCACTTGTGGTCACAGAGCTAAGATTACTCAGACCTAATGGACAACAGAATCCATGCCTGACCAATGCTATAGTGACTCTCCTGGCAATTAATTCTTCTGTGTTAAATTTATTTATTTGTAAAAAACAAATAACCCAATCAATAAATGGGACAAGGAACTGACCACACACTTCTCAGAAGATGATATACAATCAATCAATAAATATATGAAAAATGTGCAACATCTCTAGCAATTGGAGAAATGCAAATCAAAACTACTGTAGGATTTCATCTCACTCCAGTCAGAATGGAAGATATTAAGGATACAAACAACAATAAGTGTTGGTGAGGATGTGGGGAAAAGATACACTCATATATTGCTGGTGAGACTGCTAACTGGTACAACCAATATGGAAAGCAGTATGGAGATTCCTTGGAAAACTTGGAATGGAACCACCATATGACCCAGCTGTCCTGCTCCTCGGTTTATATCCAAAGGACTTAAAAACAGCATACTAGGGCTGGGGTTATGCTCAGTGGTAGAGCACTCCTCCAGCATGTGCGGGGCCGTGGGTTTGATCCTCAGCAATCACATAAAAATAAACCAACAAAATGAAGGTATTGTGTACAACTAAAATATATAGACTTAAAAAAATCAGCATACTATAGTAACATAGCCACATCAATATTTAGAGCACCACAATTCACAATAGCTAAATTGTGGAACCAATCAGAAAGCAGGCTTCCAACCTGCCCTTCAGCAGATGAATGGATAGGGAAACTGGTATATATACACAATGGAATATTATTCAGCATTAAGAGAATAAAATCATGGCATTTGCAGGTAAATGGATGGAGTTGGAGAATATTATGCTAAGTGAAGTAAGCCAATCCCCTAAAACCAAATGCCAAATATTTTCTCTGATATGAGGATGCTGATCCATAATGGGGATTGGGTCGGGAAGCATGGGAGGAATGGAAGAACTTTAGACAGAACAAGGGAGAGGGAAGGGAAGGAAGGAGACAGGGGGTTAGAAAAGATAGTGAATGAAATGGACATCATTATTCCAAATACATGTATGAAGACACGAATGATGTGATTCTACTTTGGGTACAACCAGAGACATGAAAAATTGTGCTCTGTATGTGCACTATGAATTGAAATGCAGTCTGCTGTCGTATATAACAAATTAGAATAAATAAATTTCTAAAAAATTTTATTTATTTTATGTATATATTTATTTGTTATTGGGGGTATGGGGGTCCAAGGGATTGAATTCAGGGGCATTTGACCACTGAGCCACATCCCCAGCCCTATTTTATTTTCCTTTCTTTTTTTTTTTTTTAGGATCTTTTATTTTAATATTATTTATTTATGTGCATGCAGTGCTGAGGATTGAACTCAGAGCCTCACACATGCCAGCCAAGCACTCGACCAATGAGTCACAACTCCAGTCCCCTATTTTGTATTTCTTTTACAGATAGGGTCTCACTGAGTTGCTTAGCACCTCGCTTTTGCTAAGGCTAGCTTTGAACTTGTGATCCTCCTACTTTAGCCTCCCAAGCCACTGGGATTATAAGTATTCGCCATTGTACCTGGCTGTGTTAAGGAATTAAATGCTGATAATTTTGATAGATATATAACAATACACAAAATCCAAATTCCTTAGAAGGAATGACTTTATGAACTCTGTATTGACACAAGAAATAGAGCAATATAAACTCATCTGAAACTGGGGAAACAGGAAGTGGCACAATGGAAGGGGTGGGAGAAAGGGCTTAGAAGACAAACTATAGTCAATTTATTTAAATTCAAAGCTCACAAAGTTGCCTTGTGAGATAGCCATATTTTTTGTGAAATCTCTATAATAAACTGTTTGTTACTTAAGGGCAAAGATAACATCTTTTTTGTATTATGAAAATCCTCCATCTTCACAACTTTATTTTTGGAATATTGCATGGAAATTGCAAATAACAAGGGTAAACTGGGGAAGAATCAAATAAATACAAATGGATGCCTCTGGTTGAGACAATTATTAATATATGAACATTGATTTACAGTATGTGTACCAAAGTGTTAAACAGTTTAGTGCATTAGATTTCATAAATAACTTTAATAATATTCTGATTAAAATTTAAATATCTGAACTACTTATTACTTCAATAATTAATAGAAATATATCCAAACCATGATTCCTGCATACTCCTAATTTTACTAGAACTATATTTTAAAAATCCAGCAACTTATCTACTTATTATAGCTAAACTTTGTTTTTAGGAACTATGATCTTCAATGAAAAAAAGCACTTTATAAAATATGAAAACTGCTAACATATTCTAGGAAAATAAGAGTGCCAATATGTTCTTCACAAATTGAGTTAAATCAGATGTAAAATAATGAATAAAATTCCAGACTGTTTTGATAGTCTTTTATTACATATATCTTTTTAACCATTCCAACATATATTTAAACCTTCTGTCACATAAATACACATACAATTCATAATTTTAGTAAACCACCTACTACTCTATCCAATAGATATATTAGTAGGCACTGACACACTACCTTCTGAATTGTATGTGATCTAATAATATTCCCTGGAATTCAGAGTTTAAAAATCCCATCATCTGCAAATAATACAGCTTTTCTCTTTTTTTCATCTTTATATATTTTTCTGTAGATAACATCTTAATCATCTCGGTAACCATAGCTCAATCATGGTACAGAAGGTAAGAAAATAAATGGGGTGGAAAAAACTCCTAAGATATATTTTAAAATAGAGAAATACTACAGATAAGACAGAACCTGCATTTGCTGAAATCAACAAAGAGGAAGACAAAGAGGAACCTAGAGGCTTACATAAAATATATATGACACACTACATATGCATGAAGCATTCAATATTGATGAAGTCTTAATTTAAGTCACTCAGATCACCTTTCTGATCCTTCATATCTTCTGCCAAATAAAATCTACTAATGGATGAGCTAATGCAACTGGCCTGGCATATCTGCTCCTGGGTTCTTCAAATAGAGCAAATTTGTGTGACAGCCACAGGCACCCCCTGGCCTTTGCTCCCTTGATCAAACTTCAGCTGAAGTTCTTGTAACCACTTCTTCAGTAGCAGAGAGAGGTCATATGAATCCAAGTCAAGAAACCTAGGATTCAGGGCTGCAGTTTCAGCTCAGTGGTAGAGCAGTTGCCTAGAATGTGTGAGGCACTGGGTTTGATCCTCAGCACCACATAAAAATAAATAAATAAGATAAAGGTATTGTTGTCCATCTACAACTTAAAAAAAAAAAACACCTAGGATTCAGGAAGCATGCTTCCAACCTGCTTGCATCTATCTAGTGTGGTTCATCTCTTCCATCTCTTTCTTTTTGCCCATCTCTGATTCAATAAACTATGACCTTGGGCATCTTCATTTGGGCTGTAAGTCTCTCTGTTCTGTATCCTCTGAGATGACCTGCCTGATAATATATACTCATCAAGGTAAATTATGATAATATAATTTTTTTTTCAGCTATGTAACTTTTTTTTAGACAAAATTGTTAGCAGCAGAAAAGCAGGTCATAGTCATTTGGTAAACTCAGTTTTTGTTCCTCCTGATGATGTTTCAACCACACCTTCCACAGAATGTTCTCTTTATGAAGAGCAACAACACCCTGAAGGTATAACTAAGAGTCACCAGGCCCACTGATCATTCAAGGGCAACTCCAGGCCTAACTCTAACCCTGAGCACCCTTCTGAAAGGCAGAGGATGTACAGTTCCCTGGATCTTATGCCTTGATCACAAGAGAGGGGAATACTTCACACAGTTCACATATGTTGAATACCATGATTTCAAGGACCAGCCAGTTTCTGGCATCCGAAGTAAAAATCTTTAAGGGCAACCTGAAGAGGTCCCAAAGTGCACAGAGGGGCCACTGGGGAGTGTGGCCTTTCTGATTAAATTCCCACTGAGCACCCCTAGATCAGTAACATAACTGGATTTAAATAACAGTTAGATTTGTGTTTAATAACAATTAGATTTTTAAAAAGAATAGCAATGATAGAACAATCTCTACAAAGGCAAGAATTTTTGTTTGGTTCACTGCTGTGTCTAAAATGCTGCGGGCCAATGATGAGGGCTCTGTAGGATGAATAGATGTCACACTGATTTGGCAGAAGTATTTAAGTAAGTTACAAGCATTAGAAAAGCAAATGTTTGGGACACAAACATACCTAATACAATAATTTTTTTTTAATATTTATTTATTTTTTTTAGTTTTCGGCAGACACAAGATCTTTGTTTGTATGTGGTGCTGAGCATCGAACCCGGGCCACACACATGCCAGGTGAGCGCGCTACCACTTGAGCCACATCCCCAGCCCCAACAATAATTTTTTGAAAAAGAAAACAGGCTTGAAACACTCCTATTTGAGGGTGCTCAAGAGTGCATGCAAGTAGGCTTTCCACTATCCGATGCCACCTCCTTTGTGACCATTGACCTGCTGACCACAATGCATTTCAAAGGTGATGAAAAGACTCTTTAAGAACTAAGCATGTGTAGAGCCAATAGATTGTGGACTCTATTTTCTGTACTGCTTGTGTTAGTTACAGCCTCTGCACAATCCAAGAACACTAGAGTCCTTCTCTCGCTTCTGAATAACTTTAGAATATTCACCTACCTCACCTCACCTAGTTACACACCACATTATGTGACTGAATTAATCCCAGACCAACCCTTACAACAGTAAAGACATTACTGTATTCTCTAACTATAATATGCTAAGCTTTGAAGTATAAATACTTCTACACCAGCCCCTATAAAGACATTAGGCATTTGAAAAAAGTTTAAATGTGAAACACTGCATTTTGTTTTGAGAACTTGGCTATGAATGAGACCATTACTCATTTAGTAGTAACCCCAAATAAGTTTAAAAAATATGTAAAAATAAAGGATGGTCCCTTAGGGACTTGAAATTCTGCAATAGCACAATCCCATTTTCTTTATTCAAGAAGACTGTAGTGATTTTCATAATTCACTCCAGAATACAGTGGTCAATATAAATTATTCATCAAGGTAATTTATGATAATATATATACATCAAGGTAATTTCCCACATTCATGGTGACTAGCACAGTGAACAAAAATACTTCCATTTATAGTTATTCTGATTACTAAATAAGTTCATGACTCCTTCTCCTAACCCACAAAAGATGACTGTTATAAATGGGGATATAACTAATGTCTACTCAAAGTGTTGTTATGAAAGTTAAATGAGAAAATGTACCTGAAATAGCACAGAATCCGGCACTTGGAGGACATGCATAGGATGCTATTGATTTGGAATCATTGTTATTAATGTTATTGCTTTCATCTGTCTGTAAACAGGAATCAGTAGAAGAAAGGAATTCTTTTCCAGATAATCTAGTCCATCAAATCATGTATGAGCTACCTCAAAACCTTTTTTTTTTTTTTTTTTGGCAACAAGCAAGGTTGTTGCTAAATAAACACTAAACTAAAGAAAAAAAAAAAAGATGATGACTGTTACAGGATTCCAGGACCCTCTGCCTCTTACCTGTAAGAGGGTGCTATCTGCAAAGCCAAAGCCATCTTTTAGCAGGGCAGTGATGTAGGTGAGATCCATGCATAGGAAAGGACTACCTGAGGTGAAGTTCTCCAAGTTATTACACACTGAAAGCGAAAGAGAATGAACAGTGGAGTTCAAGTCTGCAACTATAGCTTCTTAATAACTTGCACACTTCTGGTATGAAATCTTGTCTACTCGTATTTACCAAATTTCTTTCTTTATCTGCCAAATTTCTTTTTTTGGGTAAAGAAAGGGGTTGGGTTCTGGGGAATGAACCCAGGGCCTTCATGCTAGGCAAGTACTTTACCACTGAGCTGTACCTCCAGGCCCCTATTTGTCAAATTTCTATGGCCCATTTTGGGGGCTTAATTTTAAGTCCCTATCTATAATTAATGCTGAGGTCTCCAAAAGACAGGCAAATACTATTTAAGATCCATTCTGCTTCCAACCATCTTGGTAGACAGGCACTTCGGAGACAGCAGATAAGATCATTTGTATTTTAGATTGTTTCTCTTAAGGAAGCCCCCTGTGGCTATTTCATATGTGCTTTGGTGCTCAGGGTTTCCTTAACACTGATAATACAATTTCGATTAAAAAACAATAAGGAAAAAATGAAGATGTTCTCTTCTTTTACCATTTCCCTAAAGCCTCTGCTTTCCTGTATTCTTGCACAGTCTTATGTCACCCAATGCTTTTAAGTCTGAAGGCTGAATTTAACAGAAGCTGAACTGCTGAGGCCAGCCCTCTGAGCAGATTTCTAAACTGAGGAGGTGCTTCAGGTCACATGAGGTCACCAGAGTTGGCAGGCACACAGATGGCTGGACGTCAAGGGCTTATTTATACTCACCATCCCTGGCTTTTCTTTCAAAGTCTTCAACTTTTAAAACACCCCCCTTTTCATAATCTAAAATGAAATAGAGCATAGCTGGTGTCAAAAACTCTTCAAGGAAACAAGGAAATTTATCCTAGTGCTATTTATAATAATGAAAAACTAGAAATAAAATTTCCAACTTAGAGACTGGGATAAACAAACATGACATATCTATATAATACAAATCTACAAACCCTATTTATTTATATTTATAGTTAATATATGTTATCTATTTTATGTTACATGAATTTAACCTCAATTAAAAAGTAGGATTATATAAAACAGGAAATTAATTCATATCTCTGAATCCATGACAGATCACTTATCTATACTCTCACAGCTAATCATTAGTATAACTTTTGTGATAAGGAAAAAAAAGTAATCCTAAAAGAGCCAGAGGAAATTGGATGGTTTCACAGGTGATTACTTGTGACCTTTTTGTCAAATTGTACACTATAAACTTATGTGTGTTTATCATATATTAACTATACCTCAATAAAGATGTAAAAAAGTAGCTGGGCATGGTGGTGAAAGTGTGTAATCCCAGCATCTTGGGAGGCTAAGGCAGGAGGATCACAAGTTCAAAGTCAGTCTCAGCAAAAGTGAGTCACTAAGCAACTCAGTGAGACCCTGTCTCTAAATAAAATACAAAATAGTAGATTTCACCTACAGTTGTTCAGGTCATCTTTTAGGTCCCAAATACCCTGAGTCATATTCACCCTCCCACTTGAATGGCGAGTGCACTGAAGAAGAGCTGCAAAATCACCCACAACCTCTTCAAATGCTTCTCTCCTTGACCTTCCCCATCACAGGCCTGCCTTCTTTCCCTTCTCAATTGACACCTGGGGTGAACTCACCAATCATGTGTGTTTCAACGGCTCGGTCATAATAGTAAGAGAAAGCATAGAAGGAGCTTCCTCGGATCTCCTCTGGCTGGTGAAGCTTTCCTTGCACCACCCTTAGCACTTCATTGTAGCAGGGCTCAAAGCCCATCTCCCCTGCCAGGACAAAAGTGCAGGTGGTGAGTGACAACAAAGATGGGGAAGAGGTCACTCTCTAAGGCAAGCTTCTGGAGCTAACAGAGAAATGCAGGAGAATGGAGGAGAAGGCTAAAGCTCAGAACAAAAGGTTTAATTAAAAACAGATGGACAAACTTCTGCAACCTCTATGCTGTTTCTCCATGGAAGCCCCCCTCCCTAAGCTGTGTTCACCAACCACAGCCAAAGCTGACCTCAAACAGCTGCCTATCAATGTATTGTGGTCTTTGTGAGCCAGTATCCAGAGAGCTCACCTGCTTCCTTCACTGGAAACCAGTTTTCTCCCTAATTTTAAGGTCTATGTCTTTTAAAATACCTAAGATGAATCATTCTTCCTATCATGAGTTTTACTATGATTTCAACAGGAAAATATTAACTGAACCTGAAACAGGGTTTCACAATGCTGCATCAAACTCAGGCTATGCCCAGCAATTTGGGAAGCTAAGACAAGAGACTTGCAAGTTCTAGATAATTTAGCGAGACTCTGTCTCAAAATAAAAGATAAAAAGGCTGGGGATGGGGCTGAGGTTGTAGTTCAGTGGTAGAGCTCTTGCTTAGCACATGTGAGGTACTGGGTTTGATCCTCGGCACCACATGTAAATAAATAAGATAAAAATATTATGTCCATCTACAACTAAAAATATTTTTTTAAAAAGCCTGGGGATGTAACTCAGTGGTAGAGCACCCCTGGTTTCAATCTTCAGTACCAAACAAAACAAAACAAAAAAATCCTAGACCACGAACAGGCTTCTAATGGATCTGTGGTACTCAGCCAAGGAAAGAGACCAGGACACAGAGTGACAACTGTCGTATTTGCTGTCCCTTCACATTAGTTCTTGGAGGCATTCCAAGATCTTTGGAATGAGTGCCTGAAACATGATAAGTTTTTCTTGAGCTTTGAAAAAAGTTTCCCATGGGACTTTTCCAGAACTTCTACTATAAAGGTCATTTTAGTCATTTACCTTCTCGGTTGCCACCATACTGATATTTCACACCCCCAAAGATCCATTCTGCTTCCAACCATCTTGGTAGACAGGCACTTCGGAAAGTATGTCCATCAATCCCTGAAAGAAATCAAACACAAACAGGCCAGTATGTGAGAGGGAGGGAGGGAGGCAAGCAAGGAACCCATAAAGCTGAATGGAATCATCCAGGAGTCAGGCCTTTAAATCTTATGAAATTAGTTCCTCAATTGCATCGCTATGACAGCATACTTCTTTTTTCTTTCTTTCTTTTTATTTTTTTAGTTCTAGGGATTCTTTACCACTGAGCTGTATCCTCAACCCTTTTTATTTTTTATTTTGAAACAGGGTCTCATTAAGTTGCTTAGGGCCTCACTAAGTAGCTGACACTGGCCTTGAACTCATGATCCTCCTCCTGCCTCAGCCTCCTGAGTCACTGAGATTAGAGGTGTCCACCATGGTGCCCTGCCTGTGACAGCAATTTTTAACACAGTGTTCATACACAGGCTTTGTAGAGTTGGTGAAACCCCAGAAACTAGAGGCAAATTTTCATGCAAATGAATGAACATTTGGCAGGAGTCGATAGCTTTGACCATCTCAAAGAAATCCAAAACACCCAAAAAAGTAAGTTCCCTCCTTTCTACAATGCAGAAAAATACCGTGTCACCCTTTTTTTACTGTAGCCAGAGACTTAAATTAAATACACTTAAAGATGTTTGATAACTCTGAAATGTTATAAAATCTCCATTCCAATAACAGCCTTATGATAAATCAGGCATCCCATAAAATGCAGTAAATGTGAAATCATGTTAAAAGGCAAGAACAGGGCACAGGAAAGTCAGCTAACTTGCTCCAAAACACAAACCAGGACCGCACCCAGTTCTGCCTAACTCCAACTGACAGAACAGTCATTACCCCATACAAGTAGACATACATCATCCTAAAAATGGTTAATGATGCATATCAAAGAATCTGAACTTACAAAACAGACCAGGAACTTGCCATTATTATGTCCATTTTGTACAACATGTGCTTCCCAAATCAACATAGGTCTTACCTCCAAGAATTGTTGCCAAAGATAGGAAGAGGAGAGCTGAGTACTAGCATTGAGCTCATCACCCCCACCCAGCACAGGTACCCAGACAAACCTTCTGTTTGCAGGGCTCCCAGGGTTGCTAGTCTTGCAGCTTTCAATCCAAATCCCAAGTAACTGTAAAATACAGGATTGACCAATTTCATGTTGGGCCTGAAGTTCTCCAGCCCAAAGCTGCCTCCTTCAAAAGGAATATGGGTTCTCTGCCTCCCTTTGGAGAGATAAAAACCTTGTTCTGTCGCTATGACTTAGTTCATGGTCAACAAGAGGAAATTTCTGCACAATCTGGATCAAAATAAGAACCTCCTACTGTTATCATTCTAAGACCAGAGTGATATTCCTAAAGTCCCACCCTGGGAACCATTCCAACAAAAGCCCTCATTATCTTAGCTCCTCACCCCAAATAGGGATGTGGAGTGGATTCTAAACATCTGAAGGCCAGCTCAAAGGAGTTAGTACTGAGCTTTATCTGAGTTTTTTCCATGTGACCTCCCTCCCAAGAAACTTTGAGGGAGGTGTACTGGGGATCTAACCCAGGGGCGCTTTATCACTAAGGTACATCCCCAGCTCTTTTTATTTTGTATTTTGAGACAGGGTCTTGCTCAATTGCTTAGGGTCCTGCTAAATTACCAAGGTTGGCCTTGAATTTGCAATCCTCCTGCCTCAGCCTCTCAGCTCCCAAATCACTGGGATTTCAGGTGTGTACCACCACACTCAGCAAGAAATGTTTGACTTTTACATCACATATTTTTGAGGACAAGAATGGAGAAGCCTCATGGGTCCCTTGGATTTTGGTAAATGGCTGGGGTTTCAATTGGTAGGTCTTAGGGGACTGGCAAAAAATTTATAATCCTGATCAGATGTATAACAGATATGAGAATACTTTGAAAAATTAGAAGAATCATACAACGTGAAAGATTATCTTCCCTGCCCCCTCCTCACCTATGTGTATAGAGCTTATAAGTGCTGTTAAACATCTCAAAGGAAGTGAGGTAGCCCTTAGGGGTTTGTTCCAGGGTTTTCTGCAAATCAGAAAAAGCAAAAAGACTGTTCAGGATCTACAATTATCTGAAGATCTTATTACCACCATCCCTGTCCCTCCCTGCAAAAATCAGAAATGGAGACAGTGCACTAATTTCACAAAGTTTGAGGAATCAAAGGGACTCATGAACAGTGAGAGGGCCAGGGGAAGTTCACCCAGTCATGAGTTGACTCTACTCAGTCTGTTCATGACAGAACTGCTATCTGAAAGTTGGGCTCCAGTTTCTTGGCCCATGATATGCCTGCCAAGTGTGTTGCTCACCAGACCTTCATGCAAATGACTCACCTCAAACTGTGGCAGAAATGTGATTTGGGTGGAGGCCCCACCCAGGTCCAGAGTCCCCACTGTCTCCTGGCTGTGGCCATGTAGCTGACCTATCAATGAGAAACAGCTCTGAATACCCTCCACACCTTAGGCAACACAATCGTCTGCCTGTAAATTCTCTCTTGTTCTTGTTATATATTGAAAATATTCCATAAATAATCCAAAGCTCCCTGGCCCCAAAAGTTGCAGGTAAATGTCAACTCAAGAGAAAATTTTGTTGCAGCTGAGGCCTTAAAGGTTGGTTATAAACATTAAGTTCTTGTCTTCCCTGAATCACCCTCTTTTTTTGTTTTTGTTTTATTTTGTTTTTTAGAACAATACAGAAAGAGGGAAAGGGATTTTGATTCTCCTGACCATGCCTATGAAAACCAGTTAAAGTTTTTGGTTTGGGTTTTTTTGTTTGTTTGTTTTCTTTTTTTCTTTTTTGCAGTGCTGGGAAACAAACCCAGAGCCTTGAACGTGCTAGGTAAGCACTCTCCCACTGACCCGTGTCCCTGGCCCCCAGTTAAAGTCTTAAGATATACTTGAGGATATATTTACCTGTTAGGAAATTCACAGTAACCCAAGCCAATATGCCTAAAAGAGAGAAATACAAGGATTACATTCCAGAGCATTCTTTTCCCTTTCCTGGTGCCACCTTTGTTCTTTTCTGTAAATTCTGTGGGAGAGCACATGTTCCCTCTTAAAACCTGTCCTTCCATTCTTCCCTGCTTATTTGTTTGGATTACTTAGTTCTTTTTTCCTAACTGCTCAATCTCTGTTCTTAGTTCTTGAATCAGAGCTTTCACTGACCCCACCTCTCTCCCCTGAGAACATTTTTACCACCTCTCCTACCTTCATAGGATCCATCCATGATGCTAACACTGTCATCTGGGACCAGGAAAGGTGACTTCTTGAAGATCTCCTCCACCTTAGGAAAAAAGGGGGAAAATCTGGATTCTCTGAGACATTAAAACAGATTTCCACATTTTTGGGGGCTGTGTTCTGTAAGGCTTATTTTTCCTAGATGAAAGAAACCAGAAAAGGAACTTGACAAGCCAAGACCCGCTTCCTGCAAAAACAAACACAGGGATTTCTGACTTTAAAGATAATTTCAAACAAACCATCTAAATTTATGGATGAACTGAACTGAGAGAAGGAAATATATCTGATCCTGACAACTCAATCAGGATCCTGTAATTCTGTTAAAAACCTATGGTTAAGGGCTGGGGCTGAGGCTCAGTGGTAGAGTGCCTGCCTCGCATGTGTGAAGCACTGGGTTCGATCCTCAGCACCTTCTATAAATAAATAAAGACATGGGAAAAAAAAAAAAAAAAACCCTGTAGTTAAGCCGGGCACAGTGGCACACGCCTGTAAACGCAGCGGCTCGGGAGGCTGAGGCAAAAGGATCACGAGTTCAAAGTCAGCCTCAGCAACTTAGTGAAGCCCTAAGCAACTCAGTGAGACCCTGTCTCTAACAAAATACAAATTAGGGCTGGGGATATGGCTCAGTGGTTAAGCGCCCCCTGAGTTTAATCCCCAGTACCAAAAAAAGAAGGAAAAAAAAAAAAACTCGTGGTTAATTTCTACCTGGACACTCACTAGAAGCTGGGAGGAGCTTTTCCCAGTTCATTCTTAGATGAGCAGATGGACCTCGCACAGAAAAGTAGTTCCTGTCCAAGGACTGAGCATTCTGCCATCTCTGTTGGATTCTGGCACATGGTTAGACCCTTTAGAGTCTTAGGGGGACCTCAGACCTAGACTTATGGAATCCTATTTTAGAAAATGAAAATGAAGATCTGGCATAGTGCTCTTGATTCTCTACAAATACAGGCTAATGATATGTGGATTATGGCTTATTTTTATGATTCTTATGGGGGAAAAAAAAGATTTTCCAAACAGAAATAGGAAGAATTCTAATCTGTTTGCAGTTCTCATTTCTAATGGGATGAAACACATCAAGTAGTGACCTCTGGATCCTGTTTCAACCAGGAAAAGCCAGTTAAGTGACTTGTAAGTAAACTTTTAAGGAGAAGATAGATAAGCAAATAGGAATAAATACAGAAAGAGAGTTCCTGCTCTTGACTTCACTCCTCTCCTCTGCACCACAGTATTCTCAACATAGCAGCCAGAATGATGCTCTTAATATTGGATATCAACAGGTTTTCCTAAACCTTCTATTGGCTTCCTTCTTTTTAGGAAAAAAGTAAAACTCTTTATATTGGCCTTTGAGAGCACTATGACAAACTCCCCCACCTCTGATCTCACTTCTACTTGGCTCTCATCACTCAGTTCCCTCCAGCCTCGCTCACCTCCTGGATACTGTTCCTGAACATGGCCAGTATGTTCCTGCCTTAGCCTTTTTGCAGCTGCTCTTCTTTTGAGCCTGAAATAGTCCCACAAATGTTTTGTATAACTGTTTCTCTATTCCCCTCAGGCCTCTGATCAAATGAATCTTACCAGAGAGGTCTCTTCTGCTTGCTCTAATTAAAATAGCAGCTTCCCCTACCACCAGCATTCCCTACCCACCTTACCCTGCTTTATTTTTCTTGTAGCAACTGAAATACTTTGAATAACGTTATTTTATTTTGTTTCCCTGAAACTAGAATGTGAATGAGCTCCATGAGGACAGGGACTGATTGTCTTTTTTGTTTCCTGCTGTTCCTATCCCCAGTAACTTTATCAACACCTAGTCTGCACTTAGCCCTCATAAACTGAGTGAATAAATGAATAAAGAATTGGGATTCAGATTCTCACAGACATGCTAGGCTGCTTGTACTTGGATAAGGAACTTAAGCCCTCTGTGCTGATAGACAAAGGACTTAGAAGAATGAGTACAATTCTAATACAAAATCTTTTGTTGCTGTGATTTTTATGGGATTCTGCCTACAAATAGTCTTTACTTCTCATATTTTTATAAATATTCTTTACAACATGAAATTTAAATATTATGTTTATTGTACAACTGTACAATAAAATTTAAAATATTGAGTTTAACAAAATTCTAGTTTTTCTTTTTTGTTTTTGTTTGTTTTTGGTGTTGGGGACTGAACCCAGGGGCACTTTACCACTAAGCAACTATCCCCAGTACTTTTTATTTCTTATTTTGAGACAGAGTCTCTCTAAGTTGTTGCTGGGGCTGGCCTTGAAGTTGCTATTCTCCTGCCCCCGACACTGGGATTACAGGCATGGGCCACTACACCCAACCATACTTAATTTTTTTTATCTAAAACAATGCTTTTTTAAGCCAGCCTTCTTGCCTTCCTCCCTTCCTCCCTCCCTCCCTCCCTTCCTTCCTTCCACCCACCAGGAATTGAAGCCAGGGGTGCTTTATCACTAATCCATATCCCCAGTCCTTTTTATTTTTTATTTTGAGATACTTGGTTTTACTAAGCTGCTTACTTGCTGAAGCTGAACTTGAACTTGCATTTCTCCTGCTTCAACCTCCCAAGTCACTGGGATTACAGGCATATGATACCACACCTGGTGAAAAATCTTTCAAATTGGGGTGGGGATGTGGCTTTGTGGTAGAGTGCTTGCTTAGCATGTGTGAGGCCCTAGGTTCCATCCCTGGCACTGCCAATAAATAAATAAATAGGTAAATTGAAATCTTTCAAACTTTAAAATTCCATGATTCTTCTAAAAACTTTATCTTGATTTAAAAAAAGCCAGATATACAAAAAAAAGAATTTAAACACTATTATTCCATTTATATGAAATATAAGCAAAATTTATATGAAGTGATGAACACATCAGTGGTTCAGTGGTTGCTTGGTTTTAGGGGCAGGGGAAACTGACTAAAGGGTCACAAGAAAATTGCAATATTTGTCAAAACTCATTTAAATGTATGCCAAAAATGAATATATTCATTTGTTTACATAAATATATATGTTCAAATACTCACATAAATTTATCTCAAAGGGAGAGAGAAGGGGAATTGCATGGAAATGGAAGGAGACCCTCACTGTTATACAAAATTACATATAAGAGGATGTGAGGGGAAAGGGAAAAAAAAAACAAGGGAGAGAAATGAATTACAGTAGATGAGGTAGAGAGAGAAGATGGGAGGGGAGGGGAGGGGGATAGTAGAGGATAGGAAAGATAGCAGAACACAACAGTCACTAGTATGGCAATATGTAAAAACGTGGATGTGTAACCAATGTGATTCTGCAATCTGTATACGGGATAAAAATGGGAGTTCATAACCCACTTGAATCAAATGTATGAAATATGATATGTCAAGAGCTTTGTAATGTTTTGAACAACCAATTTAAAAAAATAAAATAAAATAATAATAAAAAAATAAAAAAATAAATTTATCTCAATAAAGTTGATTAAAGACCATTTCCATGATCCTGCTTTTAAAAATTTAGAACAATTATCATAGACAGGAGGTAGTATTCATTTTTCAGAAGAAGCTCCATAAATTCAAAAGTTGTAGTTACAAATGTATGTAGCTGAAGCTTGTATCCCCATCTGATGCCCTCCACCATGTCCTGATCCAGCAGGAAAGTCCCTACTAGATGCCAAGCTTTTAGAACCATGAACTTAATAAACTAACTTCCTTCCTTCCCTTCGTTTATTTCTTTTTTCTTTTTTTCTTTTCTTTTTTTTCTTTTTGGTACCAGAGATTGAACCCAGAACCCAGAGGCACTTAATCATTGAGCCACATCATTAGACTTTTAAATTTCTTTTACTTTAGATAGCGTCTCATTAAGTTACTAAGGACTCACTCAGTTACTGAGGCTGGCTTTGAATCCAGATCCTCCTGCCTCAGCATCCTGAGCTGCAGGATTATAGGCATATACCACCACACCTGGCTAAAGCTCTTTTCTGTATCAAAAAAAAAAAAAAAAAAGAAGGGGTGGCTGGGGTTTTGGCTCAGAGGTAGAGTGCTCACCTAGCATACATGAAGCACTGGGTTCGATCCTCAGCAACACATAAAAATAAAATAAAGATATTGTGTCCTCCTATAACTAAAAAATAAATATATTTTTAAAGGCATATAACTAGCTACAAGAGCTGAGTTACCACAGTGCTTTAGCAATGGTGGAATACTAAAAGTTGCAGTTACACTCCAAAGGTCTAAGCCCTCAAAAAGAAAATATTCATATACAGAAAAACACAGAATTATCCAAGATGCAGATTTCAAAAATTACCTCAAAGAGCAGAGCCTGGGCTTTCTGTTCTGGCAGTAAGCGCAGTCCTGCTGTTGCCTTCAGGACCACTGGGGTCCTTTTCCAGTGACTTTGGGGAATTGAGTCTTTGGCCACCTCTAAGAGTTCTTCAACAGTCTCAGCACCCTTTGAAAGAGACAACCCATATATCCAATTAACAGTCCATTTAGAGCATTGGTCTACTCCTTCATGCTTTGGGGGAATATTAGGAATGATGTGGCAGAGGGCTCCTCTCTGAACTGCAGAAACAGAAACCCAGAGAAGTGGAATACTTTGAAGGAGTATCCATTTTATTTTGATAGTCATAATAACAATTATCTTTTATGGTGTGTTCTTTTATAGTGTGCTTGTATAGCACCAGGGATTGAATCCACAGCCTTGCACAGTCTAGGCAAGTACTCCACCACTGAACTACATTCCTAGTCCTTTTAAATTTTTTAAATTTTGAGACAGGGTCTCACTAAACCACCCATATTGGCCTCGGACTTATGATCCTCCTGCCTTAGCCTCCCCAAGTGGTTGGTATTGCATGTGTGCACTACCACACCCAGCTATAGTATGGTCATTTTAGTGGATTGTTTTTTTTTTTTTTAAGAGAGAATGAGAGAGGAGAGAGAGAGAGAATTTTTAATATTTATTTTTTAGTTTTTGGCGGACACAACATCTTTGTTGGTATGTGGTGCTGAGGATCCAACCCGGGCCGCACGAATGCCAGGCGAGCGCACTACCGCTTGAGCCACATCCCCAGCCCTATGGATTGTTATTTTATGTGTCAATAAATTAGGTTTAGTTTGGCTCATGCCTATAATACCAACTACTCAGGAGGCAGGAGAATTACAAGTTCAAGGCAGCCTGGGCAACTTCAGAGAACCTGTCTTAAAAATGAGTAAAGAAAATAAAAAAATTTTTAAAAAGAAAGAGATTTTTTTAAAAGGCATCTTCTGTTTCAGATAAAAAATTTAAGTATGGTTGGGTGCAGTGGCCCATGCCTGTAATCCCAGTGACTCAAGAACCTGAGGCAGGAAAATGGCAACTTCAAGGCCAGCCCCAGTAACTTAGTGAGACCCTGTCTTACTAAGCCTTAGAGAGACTCTGGCTCAAGATAAAAAATAAAAAGGACTGGGGATAATAGCTTTGTGGTAAAGTTCCCCTGGGTTCAGTCCCCAACACCAAAAATAAAATGAAAATTAAAAAATTAGGTTAAGCCAGAAAGTCAGATATAGTATTGGGAACTCAAGAGTTGGGAGTCAGAAGACACTTGCTAGCCCATGACCTAATATGGGTCACTTGGCCTTCATGAGGTTTGGTTTCCTCAGATGTAAGATAGAAATACACCTTACACCACCACTAAACTGTGTGCACTTTAGATGAGGCACAGTCAGTGTGGCTGCCATACAAATACTAGCTATAGCTGTCATCATGCTATGATTGATAAGTGTTTCCCTGTGTGAATTTATTCAGGTAATACACTGTATTTTTACTAGCAAACACAACACAATTATCTTTTCTAAATATCAAATCAGTTTCTGATAATGCAGTTGCTTTCAATGGCTCCCAATTTTCTAGTACATTTGCAGTTTCATGTGCTACTGAACTGAGAAAATACATCCTGTCCATTCTTCAAGTGCAAACCATTTTTCATCAGGTTTTCCCTTGGTTAATGATTATTCCATGACCCTGGACAATAAATATCTTTACCTCTAATACCAAGTTCAACATTCTACCTTATTCTATTATATCAGTGTGGCCTCAGACATACTGGGTATAGTATATTGGGGTGCTCAAATATGAAATACAGCTACTAGTCACCATAAACTATCCTCTACTACCAAAGATTTTAGTCATCAAGGGTGGTTGATTAATTCTCAGGTACAAGCATGGTTCCATCCTATATCAGAGCCCTCTGAAATAGAATTCACTGGGTCTCCATCCTTCAATTGCCATGTTTATGCCTCATACCCTAGAGAACTTCATGCGTATCTTCTTCACTGACATTAAATAATTTTTCAGTTAATGGCTTCAACTCAAAACCTTAAATAGTAAATACAAAAAGTACAATCTATCCTGTACTTTGTCATCTATCCTGAACAAACACAACTTATTTTCTAGCCTCCTTCCACCCAGCCCTGGTGAGCCTGGAGTATACAATTACTGTTATCCAGGAGACTTACTAAGGAGAGAAATTGATTTCACACATGACCTCAATATCATTAACAAATAAAACGAAATATTTAACAGCAGTGATGTGGTAAAGTTATCCAGGAATTGAGAATATAAACATCAATCATAAGAAACTTACCTGCTTAGGTTGATCTACAAAAGCAGAAAGTCCTGGCTTCACAGAATCAAAGATTTCCCCTTCCAGAACTGGAAGCTGTCCTGTTTTGTCCACAGAACAAAACAGAAGAGATGATTACCAAAAGTTAAGTTCTTCAGCTACAAGGCTCTGTAAGTTGTCATGTAAGAGTAGATTTACCTACTCTTTCCCTAGACTATCCCAAATGATACCACTTGTGAGGAATGTCTTTAAGAAGTTTTTGAAATGGGAAACAGAAGGCATCAGACAACCCTTCAGAGTCTGTCATTTCTCTGGTGGATATCTAGCTCCTATTCCTTTTACCAGGCTCTTTTGGGGGGGGGACTCAAGAGTTGGAGTCAGAAGACACTTGCTAGCCCACGACCTAATATAACTTTATTTTATTTATTTTTTTTATGGATGCTGAGGATCAAATCAGTGCCCCATACACACTAGGCAAGTGTTCTACCACTGAACCACAAACCCAGCCCCTTTCACCAGACTCTTCAGGATAATAATAATAAAACAATTCAGGGCTGGGGATACCTCAGTTGGTAGAGCGCTTGCCTCCATGCACAAGGCCCTGCTGGGTTCAATTACCAGCACCACCACCACCAAAAACAAACAAACAAACAAACAAAAAACTAACAATTCAGAAAAAGTTCATTTTCAGGGTCCCCTCAGCCCCATCTTCAAGGATGAATACAAGGATAATAAAACTCATGTGATTCTCTCCCCAAGATCACTCCCAATATTCTCACTGTTCTAGAATCCTAGAGTATTAATCAACTTTGCATAAAAGAAAGGACAAATTATAGCTGTATTTCTTGGACATATGGGTTTCAGAGTTCAGGTCTATTAATTTCACATTGAATAAAAATGTGTTCAGTTAAAGTCCAAAGTGTTCTCTGAATAAAGACACTGACTATTTACACCACACACTCTCAGCACATTTGTTTCTGGAAGGAGGTGCTAAAGGGTGGATTCATAGAAAGGTGAGGGTCCCAGTTGCACTTACCTGGTATTTTCTGCACAAAGGTATAAACATGAATCCGAGTTCCAGTGCTTCCTGCATCAAACATAATTCCATACAAGGTGCTGGCACTGACATTTATCGGACACATGGAAGACAGGAAGACACCCTCAAACCAAGTCTGCTGATCTTTATGGAAGATAGTGCTACAAACACAGGATGCCACCAGCATGAAAAAGACTGTGCCCCAGGAAGTGGCCATACTCTATCCAAGGTGTGGTGACCTGAAGTTTGATTGTGGAAGGAGTGCTGCTTACAATCCTGTAGTGGCTTATAGGACAAAGATTCACAAGGTTAGTTCAATTGGTTTTTTTGGTTAACCTGTAAGAGAAGAAACACCATAATAGAAATCCTGCCCTTGTCCCCAAGGTGTTCCTTCTCTATTTCTAATAACAAGTACAACAAGCTAAACCAGGGTAATACAGGCTCTTAGCACTTTTTCTAAAGGGTATCTTGTTCCAAAAGGAAACTAGGGTTTAAAATACATTTTCCTAAGCTTTGCTTTTAATTACAGAGTGGTTCTCACGTGCTCAAATGTTCTTTGTGCCCTTTTGCTCCTACGGGTGAGTCTAATTTTCTTTTTTTGTGTTTTGACCATTTTGCCTTTAGATCACAAACTAACATTCCTCTCTCCCTCCTTCTTTCTTTTCCTCCCTTTCCTCTTTTTGACTGATAGATAAGCTTAATTCAATCTCTGAAATAAAGTTACAAAGAATATAAACATCAATCATAAGAAACTTACCTATTAGGTTGATCTACCTAAAAAGGGCCAATGGTGTTGGGGGATGTTCATAGCCTTAAAAAAGGCACTTTTGGGCCTGATAGAGAACACTTGTAATCCCAGCAAGTACTGAGACTGAGGTTGAGACAGGATTGCAAGTTCAAGGCCAACCTAGACAATTTAGTAAGACTTTTTCAAATAAAAATTTTTAAAACGTTAAGAATGTAGCTCAGTGGTAAAACACCACTGGGTTCAATGCCCAGTACCATTAAAAAAATAGGATTATGTCACTGAGCTATTAATTATAATCAATAATATTGCTAGTGGCTTGCAAATACATATTTGCTAGGAGGGAGCGCAGTACTGGGGGATCAACTCAAGGCCTCACAAATGCTGGGCAAGTACTCTACAACTGAGCTATTTCCATATATCCCCATCCTTTTTATTTTGAGACAGGGCCTTGCAAGATTGCCCAGGCTAGTCTCAAACCTGTGATTCTTCTGCCTCAGTCTCCCAAATGATTGGGATTACAGGCATATACCACTATACCCAGCCCACTATGAATTTCAAAACAGCTTCACAGGTTTCAGGCCACATTATTGCCAAAAGAACTTAGGACAAATGGCCAAATTAAAGTCAAGAGGTTCTATGACTTGCTGAAAATTACAAAGTAAGTCAGTAGTGATATTCAGACCATAAATCAGTCATTATTCTTCTCTATTTCTTTTTTCCTAATTCCAAATGCTAACCCTATAGCAAGTTATTGTCCATATTTTTTAATGTGTCTTCATCACACTTTGGATTTCCATACAATGGAGGCTGGATACAAATACTGCTAGAAAGTTAGTATAAGGACATGGAAAATAGTGGACAGTACTATTTGTCAGGTCAGAGGTCCTGGGTTCCAGTTCTAGCATTTGTTCTCTATCAGGGAGCTGCATGATCTTTTTTTTTTTTTTTCTTTTGGAGGGCTGGGGATTAAACCCAGGGCTTTGTCCATGCCAGGCCAGCATTTCACCACTGAGTCATATCCACTAGCCTGAGTTGCATGATCTTGAGCAAATCATTTAGCCTCTCTGAGACTCTATTTCCTCATTGTAAAGTACCTTGGGGCTGAGGTTGTGGCTCAGTGGTAGAGTGCTTGCTTAGCACATGTGAGGCACTAGTTTCAATCCTTAGCACTAGATTAAAAAAATAAATAAATATAATATTGCATCCATCTAATAAAAAAAATCTTAACTGCCCTTTCTTCCTTAACATGGTTATTAGGAAAATCAAATGAGACACTATATATGCACATACACATACGTATACTTTTAGATATATGTTATTGCACATATACATGTAATTGGAATACAAATTATCTCATTTTGATTTTCCTACATATATACACATATGTGTGTATCTTAATTAGAATAAGTTATAGATGGAGAACCTACTTAGACTAAGTTGTACTCCATGTACGTATAATATGTCAAAATATACTCTGTCATGTGCATTTAAGAACAACAATAATAACAAAAAAGCCATTAAGCTATCTATGGATGCTGATGGCACCTGGAAGAGTATTTATTCTTTGGGGAATTCTCTATTAGAGATGGGGAAGTGAGGTTTCTCAAATCTTTTTTGGAAACAGTACTTCATATTCCAATCCATATGTGCTAATATGCACATCATCTAATTCCTTCATTTATAAAATTTTTTTAGTTTTGTAAAGTGAATGGTGTGATCAATGTTTTTGTAATCAAATTCAAAAGTCTTTTTATAGTTTAAGTATTTATGAAATAATAATAAAAAAATTTCTCCAGATTGAGATCCATGAATATAAGGAATCTATTTTTGTTTCTTGCTTTATTCTAGCACATGGATGAGTGACTAATATACTATAGGTGGTCCATAAATTTTGCCAAGTGAAAAAAATAATGAATAAAAAATCATCAACTTAGTATATTAAAAATTTCTGTTAATGTTAATAGTGATTTAAAATCACATTGCTGTTAAATGCATAGTATTATATCCCTATTTAATAATAATTCAAATGCCATTTCTTCCCTGAAGTAATTACATCCATTCTTTTGTCAGTTTTTCCTTATTGTTCTCTAGTTCAAGAACATAATGATTGTCTCTGTTAGACCATATTCTTCTTAGGAAGAGATAATGACTAGTTTAACTTTGTATGCATAATAATTTATTATGCATAATATAGAAAAATTAAAATTATGTTTAATTAAAAAAAGGTTTTACTGTGTGTGATACTTGAGATCAAACCCAGAGCCTCATCTATATTAGGCAAGTGCTCTATCACTTAGTTATATCTATAGTCCATTTATTTATTCATTTATTTGTTCATTCATTTTGTAGTACCAGGGATTGAATTCAGGGATGCTGTACCACCAAGCCATATCCTCACCCCTTATAACTTTTTGAGACAGCCTCACTAGGTTGTTATGGCAGGCCTTGATCACAATCCTCCCACCTCAGCCCCCCAAATAACTGGGATTACAGGCATGTGCCACCACAACTGGCTCTTGTTTTTTGTTTTAAAATTACAATACATTATTTAAATATTATGTAACATCCTAGTATTTTTCCAGGACTGAGGTTGTACAAAGTGGAAGGAAAGAAAGGATTTGTTATTGTTGGGAAATAATTTTTAAAACATAAAGGAGGCTTATTTTTCATCATTCTTCACCAAAGCCAATATAGTAAATTCCTTTTTTTTTTTTTTTTGGTGGTGGTGGGAGGTCGTGTCAGGGACTGAACTCAGGGCACTTGACCTCTGAATCACATCCCTAGCCCTATTTTTGGGGGGGGGGGTACCAGGGATTGAACTCAGGGGCACTCAACCACTGAGCCACATCCCCAGACTATTTTGTATTTTATTAGAGACAGGATCTCAATAAGTTGCTTACAGCCTCCCCATTGATGAGGCTGGCTTTGAATTCTCAATTCTCCTGTCTCAGCCTCCCAAGCCACTGGGATTACAGGTGTGCATCACTGCACCTGGCTCTAGATAAAGTATTCTTACTCATTCTTAAGTGTATTGACCATTGAGGGCTTAAGTAAAATACCTCACTCCCCACAGGTGACATATAACATAAAATGAAGCAGATGAAAGTTAATTTCATTTGGAATTTTAAAATATTTAAATATTTTTCTGAAGTACTGCAAAGGCAGTTAGAATTGTCCCTTTGATCGCTATTCAAGGCTGAACTTCTATCCTGTGGTTAAGAACCGGAGCTACTGGCTAGGGAAAGGAACCAAAAGAATTGTTCAACTTTCAAAATTCCTAACAAAGGAAATTTCATCCCAGGAAATTAACCATTGAAAGGACAGCTGCCTGGCCAGATTCATACTCACATCTTAAAGCACTCACTTTGGAGGATTCTTCTTTTACAGAAAATGGGCTGGTCACACAGATCAATCTACATAGCTGAAAACAGAAACAGTTCTTTAGATTCTTAACACTGGACACCAGCTTTGTCCAGCATGTGCTCCCTCTTCTCTCAGGACCTGCATGAGTGGCACTCTGGATATCAGCTCCCCTTTGTCTCTGTGACAGCAGCTTCTTCACAGGTCACTCATATTTCATATTATTGTGGATTCTCAAAAACATTTCCAGCTTCTGTTTTCACTAAGCAAACATTTGTTTTTCTTCCAGAAGATTTTTAAAGGAAAAAAAAAAAAGCATCATAGGTATCAGTTTTCATTGAATGAAAACTGCAGAGTCATACCAGGTATTTGGTGAAAAGCCAAACAAATTTTAGAAAAAGCAAAGGATTAACATGTAAAATGCCCTTTCCAACTTCAGCACCTACCTTCTAACCACTGATAACCCCACTTTTCTTTAAGATTAGCTATTTTTAAAATGGTATTAGGAAGACTTACAATGTTGAGTTTACAGGAGGGCATCTTATTATACATGACCCCAGTCTGCGCAACTTGTTCTTTCACTTTTTTTTTTTTTTT